TTAAATCAAATAATCAGGCACCGATTAACATTCATTATGATCTAATCATTTGTAAGCTCGTAAATTTCTTGATGGAATGCACCACACACTCAAAGCCAAACGTTCATTGTTCCATTCCTTCCACATCATCCAAAATGTCAAGGCCAGTGCATGTTTCCAGTTCCAGCACTGAGAATAATTGCTAATATTTTGGTTTTAAATCATGTCACTAGTATTTTCTAAATTTAAAGGAAATGAACAAGTTGTCAAGCTAACCAAATTTTTAAAAAATTTGAGAATTGAGTTGATTTAAGAATTAATTTTATGAATGTACCCACAATTTTAATGTTTTGTTTAGGTTTGCATCTCTTATGTATGTGTAGTACACTTCGTTTTATGACATTAAAACAAAAAAAATATCAATATATATGGCAATCCAATTCTCAAGTGCTTCATATTTATTTTCATCTAAGAAAACATGTGGACAGAAAAAAGGCATAAATTATATGTATGCATCCTTATAGTTTTGTTAAAAATACTTATCATTAAAAATAAAATAAAAATCAGTGTGTAGTTATTTAAAATATGATTTAGGTTAATATGGTATATAGTGTACATTAATTATATTCCTATGTAAAAAATGTAATCATTTCATTATTTGTCACATATAGTTAATAAGTAATTCTTTTTAGCTAGGTATGGCGTTATATAATCCTTTTCTTTTTGGTTTTGTGAGGTTAGGATTTTTTTCAAAAGGGTGTGTGGATTGATTGAGTTGAAATTTTAAAATTGGTTTTCTCCATAAGTGCTTTCCCAAACTTTTGAAATAACATAAATGTATAAAAAAGTAAAGATGATGAATGTTAGGTAAAATAAGAAATATCTATAATACTTTAGTCCTTTAGCTATATATATTTTTATTTAATTTTATAATTATTTTTTAGTATTTTTACTTTGATTCTCTTTTTATTTTATTTTATAATTATTTATAATTATACTTTAGTATTTTTATATTATTTAACAAGTTTATTCTTTTTTAAACTTCGCCTATCTAGTTATAGTGGAAAAAAATATATAAAAAGAGAGTGAGAAAGAGACTAAAAGATTAATAAAATTTAAAATAATAATTAATTAAGAGAGAGTGAGAAAGAGACTTAAAAAATTAATAAAATTTAAAATATTAATTAATTAATTTAGCTTTTAAGTAACTATTAGCTTTGTGATAATGGTTCCTTAGACATCTTTTCTAGATAAGTGGTAGGGTTGGGATTGATGCTCTTACAAATGCCAGCTTTTACTACTAAAAAAATAGATTTAACAACATGTTAATTTTTTTAAAAATAATTTTTTATTTTTAAAAATATAATATAATATAAACTTGTATTATATTATATTTTATAAAAAACTATTTTTAAAACAGAAATCAAACGTGATTATTAGATTGTTTTTTTTAACTTTATTTATTTTATATCTTTTGACTTTATTATGCATTATTTGTGCAAATTAGTCCTAATTGTTTTAGAGCATATATATAACTTATTTATTTTTGGGGTAAATTGTATTATTTAAAATGTCACAGCTTAGTTAAAATTTATAACAAAACTTAAAGATGATGGAATAATTTCCACACTTACAAAGATAAATAGTAAATTGTTTCATTTTTGTTATGAATTTAACTTATAACGGTAGTATATTTTGCATGATAAAGGAAAGTACACAATTTGAAAGTTGAGTTGCTTACACACAAAATAAAGTTGAAGGGTGTAATCTATATATCAAATGGAAAAAAAAAAAATAGAAATGAAAATTGCTGTTGAAAGACATGAAGAAGAAAATTTTCCGTAATAGGAAAATAAAATGGGTTAAAGGAAAGAATAAAGAATATGAAGCTAAAAATAGTATGAGCCATGTCTCCTCCTAATTTTTAACAAGTTAGATGCAAGCCACAATAATAAATAAGTTTTGTTAGCATTAGCCCTTAAGTCTGAGTTTAAATATTTATAAATAAAATTTTTTTATAAAAAAATATATAATTATTGTATTGAAGTTATAAACAAAATTCATACTTCTCTTTCTAATAAAATTTTATTATTATTAACTGTTTATCATCATTTCTAAAAGCTGATATTAATAAAATATTAAAATACATGATAAATTGGTAGAGGTCTAATTTGGGATAAAGTAATGGGTTGAGATATTTTATCTTTATCTTGATTATTCAAAAGTTTAATAAGTTTATTTTTTTATTCTGAACTTATTCAATTAAGATTAGATAATATTAAAATAATACTTAATCTACTCAACTTATAAATTAAATATATCAATTTTAACATTATGTATAAAATTAAGATATATTTTAAAACAAATATCAATATAAATATAATATTATGAAATATAAATATTATTTATTAAGTTTTGAATTTTTTGAAGTAAAAAAATTCAAAACAATAAATTTAAAATTTTCTTACTATTATATATTTATTTTAAAATATAAACATTGAAAGAATAGAAAACATCAAGCCAAATTAAAATAACTTAAATCTATATTTAATTAAAACATGTCAAATTTAATTTTAAAAGTTCAAACCTGTCAAAATTAAGCTGACACGAACACTAGATATAACTAATTGTTATATAGCATGTTCTTTTATACGATCTTAAAAGAGTGAATTAGTGAAATAATTTGTTCAGTTAGCTTTATATATGTTGGGACGTGTTTGACAAGGCATGTTTGAAAAGCAACGATATATTTTCCGATAATTCCAATTATGTATCAACCCGGTATCTGGAGAGTAGAGATGAGGAGAATGAGTGTAAAGCAATAACATGTAAACATCAATATTGGTTAACAACTCTGCATTTCACTGCTTACTCATCAAAGTTGACCTATCATAATAAATCTATGCAAGAGTATTTAGAGTGCAATAATCTCTTGCCTATTTATAAATGGTGAAAATCTATATCGACTATAAATATAACTAAAAATTAAGACAATTGTTATTTTACGAACAATGATAAATTTAATATTAGACCATTTTTTTATAATTTTAAAAAAATCTAACTCCACAGATATTTTCAGTACAATTAACATGCATATATAAGGAGATTTTACTTCAGATAATTCATTCTTAAGAATAATCAACTGCTTAATAAGAAAATCGAAACAAAAACCTTTTCGTTAAGTTACTCTAATTATGACCATATCTAGTAGTGATACTCTCTCAAGTTTTTTTTTTTTAACTCTCTATTTAATAATTGTTAAATGCTATTATAACACTTTTTCTTTTTACATTTTTATAATTTAAATAACTTTTTTTTTCAATGGTGCAACTCTAAGAAAATTACTACATAGGACCCAAAATTAGCTCACATCTTTATGTTTCATAAATATTTATTTTTATTTCAGCTTAAAATTGTTAAAATATTTCTATTTTCATTTTGAAACAATAATATATATATATATAATATTTAAAATGTAACAGTTTATTTTAACTATTTTTTATGAAATAGTTTTTCTAACAAAATTAAAATGTATAAAATGAACCTCTCAAATTATTTCAGATCTTTATATTTATTTTGCTTTGATTTTGGCTTCTCCCATCACGAATGCTGCTTTGGATTATTACAATACAAATTGGACATATTTTATGGAAAGAGCAATTCTTATAGATGATTACCAAGTCAATCTATTCTAATGGTGCATCTCTCTTTCAATACCATTGCTCAATTATAAAAGCAAACATTTAAGCACCAAAGTTGTAGGTAAAATTTTATGTTTCATTTTCTATATCAATGTACCAAAATCGTAAAACTTCATCCCCTGAACATCAACGACATTGTTGGTTCAATAACCCTAAATGGAAGTTAGCTCATGAGAATGAAATACTTGTTTTTGGGACCAAGCTAATGAAAAAAAGGGCTAGTTGTTATATATATATATATATATATATATATAAAACCACAATGTAGTGTGTGTTTGATTCTTTTTGTCTCTTTTCTTTCAGATATAAGTTAGCTCCCATGTAGATTCAACAGGAGTGTCAAACTTTTCAAATTTTTGTGCTAAATGAATTCACATAAACATGAAAATATAATTTGAAGGTGATTTCACCGAAAGAAATTGCAAACCTTGCTGTCATCTATTCAACTTTTTTATTTAATTACCAGTTGTAATTTATTTTTTTTTATAAATAAAACTACTATGTTAGGGATCTAAATACCGTAATTCTCAAAAGCAGTAGATTTGTCTAGGCTAAGAGATCAATAAGATACTTATTTCCACCAGTAATTACCATAGCCTATGTTTGAAAAGAGAGAAAGAAAATAGGGGGAGAAATTTTTTAAAAAATGAAAATTTTTCTTGTTTAGTTAAAGGAAAATAGGACTAAAATTTAATTCCAAGAAATAATTTTATTTTTAATTTTTTTTCTCTAAACTCTCTCTACTTTAAATTTTATTTTATTTTTCTCTCATCCAAAAAAAAAAAAAAAAGAAAAAAGAGGGAGAAGTGCTAAATGAGTTCTGATTTTCATAACAAAATGAGTTAACCTAATGGTAAATATTTATTTATTGATAGAAAATAACTTTGATAATTTTTACACTGGTCCGATAGGGGAATAAATTGCGTTTTCATATACGCCCGTCCTATGGCGAACAGTACCATGCAAAGCCGTGAACCCGTAGCTCCGAACAAATATAAGTATGACGACGTATATATAGTAATATACATTTTAATACACTTGTTTTAACAATTTTTTTTATTATTGATATTCATTAAATAAGAATTGAAACCTATATTATTCTGTAATTTTAAATTAATAATAAAAAATATATAAAAAAAATTGTGTTAAGAGAATATATTATTATCATTGCTCATATAACTATTAATGTCCGATGACAAAAGCCAGAGGAAGAACTTCCTTCATCGAATAACTGCAGAATAAATCTCCGGAGAGACAAAGCCGAAAGACACAACATTCTCCATCATTACGCAGCTCTTGTGGTATCTTGGTCTTTGATTTATGGGAGATATGCAGAAAGGTAACACTCAGAAAATAACTCAACTCTAGCATCTACGAGTTTGGCCATATCAATTGATATAATTTTATCTCTATTTATTTATTTATTAAATTCCTCATGTAATGGGAATAAAAATATGATGATTTTCATCCCTCATACGGCTCAATGTTGTTCAGATCTTAATGCCAAACCAAGTTTCACACAGATCATCGTAGCCTCTTCTATTGGATTGATATTTGCAGTGGCCATGCATTATCGTCTTAAAAAGATTAGAGATCGAAAGATCATCCCACATCTAAGATCATCACGCTCAGGCCACTTACCAAAGCTTGAAAGGTTCTCACATTACGTAGGTAAAATATTCTTTTTTTCGATTATACACATGGATCCATAAAATTGTATACATCATTTAAAAAGTTGCACATGGTATGTTCTTTCTATAGCAATATGAATTAAATTGGCTTGAATATATATATTCTTTATGCAATGTTTTTGAAAGAGATAAATTTATTTTGGTATGTTTTATTAGAAACTATTCCATACTATATATTAATAATTTTTCCTTATGCAAAGTTCCTTTGATTTGCTGCAGCTAGGCAAATGGGGTTCAAAGACAGGAGGAGTTGTCCTCATCTATGTAGATTGGCTTCCGAATACATAAGGAAATGCGAGGGATGCGAAGATGATATATATGCCTTCTTTGAGAAGGAACCAGATGCGGATTCACTGTATGTGAAGCTGGTGGAGGAGTTTGAGAGATGCATTCTTAGTTACTTTGGATTCCATTGGAACTATGGTGATGTAATAATGAGTCAGGTATTTGGGTGTTTACTCATTTATAAGGGAAGAAAGATATACGACTGCTTCAACAATTAATTAATCTGCAAAGGCTTGTATGTATAACACTAGGTAAAACTTTTTTTTTTTGGGGTCTTTGCAGGTGTTGAACTCGGAAAATGAGCCAAAGAAGAAGCTCAAGCACATAGTTATGGCAGCAACTAGGTGTCTTACTATTCTTATCTAACAACACAAACTAAACCAACTTTCAAAGTTAGTCGGGGATCGTACATCATGGAACAGGATATGATAGTGGATCAGAGAATTTACTCGCCAATCTGTTATTTTCTTGTGTCCTTGCTTTTCTCTAGAACGCATACATTTAGCGTGTCTGATTTTCCATTATACATTGATCCAATTTTCTAACGCTAAATTATATAGTACAGAAACAGACGTATTTTCAAGGAATGAAATAGTAGAATCAAACATACACTTAATTGGTTTACCAAATAGCCAATTAACATCAATAGGTTCCATAAGTACCTGTAGCTCAACATTATTGTCTTAAAAATGTCTAAAGACGATTATGCAATTAAGAACTTGTTATTAACTAAAAGCTAATCCAAATGATGAGACATTTGTTCGATAAGTCAATGAAATTATGCATACAGTTCATGATGCATAATAATGAAACAATAATAAGGCTTTATTTCCTCTCCCCTTTAAACGGTGCTGCTTTCCAAGTAGTTCCATATTTGGAATTACCTGACAGTTAAATGAAATTTATTTCATCATTCTGGATGCAATTATATGGGAAATACTTCGGGGTAATTTTTTTAAGGTAAATAGTATTCATTGCACAGGGAACAAAGGATCGAGAGAGTTGCGAAGAATCTGAAGGTTGCTAGTGTTTTTAATACATTGGTAGAAGAGATGAAAGCAATGGGAATTGCTGCAACTGATGACTCTCAATGTACAGAGGTGATGGCTCCAGTAGCTCATAGCGATAGGAGCCCAGTGCTTCTCCTAATGGGGGGAGGTATGGGTGCTGGCAAGAGCACTGTGCTCAAGGACATTCTCAAAGAGTAAGTAATTATAGTTTCTGAACACAAAATTAAACATTGTTTTGATTTTTAACAGAAGAAATTATCTTAGTCCATCAATTCCAAACGCCCCATTTTACCCCATTTTTCAAGGAAGATTCTATGTATAACCCAACACATACGATGGATGTAATGTCAGATAACTGAAACGGTACAATAAGATTCATGTGACAAAAATGGTGTGCAAATATCAAACTCTTTCGTAATTATCAAATGATCATGCTTGGTCAAGGAGATTAGATGAGTAAAAGCGAGTTCCAACAAGCTTTTTCTTGATTCCTTGCGCAGTACATACTTCACCTGTATATATGAACAATGATCTCTGTTTTAAAATTGAAATATAAATTTCTAGCATATCCTCTAATAAATTTAATACTAAAAAAATTGTGTGATCAATGTATTCGACCTAATAAGTTTATAAATGAAAATGAAAAGATACAAGGAAAAGAAAATTGGAGTTTGCAAGTTCAAATACCATTTTCTTTCAACATTGGATGTATTATAGAAATTGAAACATTTTATCCAAACCCCAAGTCTGCATTTATGCCTTTGTCATGTCATGCCCAAATCGGAATCTGCTCAGTCAAACATTTTTGTGTCGAAGAAAATTCACTGCTGTGATCTTCTGCGCACATTCATATATGTTTAAAAGATGAAGAAAATTAAAAGATTACTAAACTGAGCAGATCCATATATGATAACATGGCCTGTAGTCCTGAACGAGTATGATGACAAATGATATCTATATTAGTTCTTTAAAAAGGATGTTCATAAACAGATTCTGTTTCCTTGTTTCAACAATCATTTAAGCTATCTAGCTTTTAATTCACTGTATCATTATGAATAAACATCAATAACCTAATGATGTTTCTTCATGAATGATACAGTGAATTAAAAGCTAGATAGCTTAAATGATTGTTGAAACATGATGTTTCTTCATGAATGAAATTTAAACAGACCTTTCTGGGCAGGAGCAGCAGGGAATGCCGTAGTCATTGAGGCAGATGCCTTCAAAGAATCAGATGTCATCTATAAGGCCCTTAGCTCAAGAGGTCACCATGACATGATTCGAACAGCAGAACTGGTGAGATGGTTGACTCTTTTCTACTCTTTCCTTTGCAATCTGAACTGTTTGCGTTTGTAGGGAGTAGAGGTTGGCAATGCATTCATATCTGCTTCTTTTGTGGGCTGGGATAGGGACTGTTTTGGACAATGGCATGATCCAAATTGATGGAATCTTGCACCCATTAATAGCTGTAGCCTGTACATGCTTTATTTTTTGCTTGATAAAGTCATTATTCCAAACAGGTACACCAATCATCCACAGATGCAGCCTCATCCCTCCTGGTAACAGCACTGAATGAGGGGCGGGATGTTATTATGGATGGCACACTCTCCTGGCTACCATTTGTGGTGCAGACAATAACAATGGCCAGAAATGTTCATCGACGCCGTTACCGCATGGGAGCTGGCTACAGGGTGAACAAAGATGGAACTGTAACTGAAAACTATTGGGAACGAACTGAAGATGAAGAACCTGAACAGGTTGGAGGCAAGAAGAGAAAACCATATAGGATAGAGTTGGTTGGAGTAGTATGCGATGCTTATCTTGCAGTCGTTAGAGGCATAAGGTCATCTTGAACCTTTCTATTTAACAGTCTTACCAATCCATTCTTCCGGTGAAAATGGATTCCACCTGGAGATTAACAATTAAATTTGAATGTCAACAGGAGAGCAATCATGTGCAGAAGAGCAGTGAGAGTAAAGTCACAATTGAAATCCCACAGGAAATTTGCCGAGGCATTTATGACTTACTGTCAACTAGTAGATAACGCACGGCTATATTGCACAAACGTGTTGGAAGGCCCAGCCAAGGTACACATTTCCCTCTTCCTTCTTCCTTATTCTTTTTCAGATGACAAAAACCTGACACAGCATACGTTTTCAATAGGAGATAAAATAATAATTTGTCTTTGGTATATACAAATGATTGATGCAAGTGATAGTCAATAATAAAACTAGGATCACATCTTGGGTCTCTCAGCAATTTAGCATCAGGAATGAAACTTTGATGCAATGTACTGTGAATTGGAGTTTGCAAGTTCAAATTCCATTTTCTAATATCAATGCACCAATCATCTTATACTGTCTTTATCATGACTGCTATTTTGGTGTATAAGCAACATCTAACCACTGACCTTATATCTGTGGTAAAGTTGATAGGATGGAAAGATAGAGACAAGACACTGCTCGTTGATCCTGATGAAATCGACTGTTTGAAGAGGGTTGCCAAATTGAACGAAGATGCCGACTCCATTTATGAACTTTACAAGCATCCCAACCCAGCTTGTGAAGCTGGATCGGTATGGAAAGACATTGTGTTATCTCCTTCAAGGTTGAACATCCAACAGGAGCTCAAGTTTTCGATCCAAAAGATTGAGAGCTTGAAATGACAAAACACCATGGTGACCAGAGGAAATTTTTCAACATTTAGCTTTAAGAAGTGGATCAGGAGAGGAAAACCACCTCGAGTAGGCAAGAAATGCGTGGTGCTAAAATTTGGGATTGGGATCAAGAAGACTATTTACCATTAATATATACACAAACAACATTTAGCCTTAATCTTACAGGACTTTTCAACTTATTTTACAGGAAATTGCGAACACAGACACTACCCAATATGCAGCAAATATCCGGACACAGCATAACAGTCAAACTGATCAATCAAACACCAATTTTGGAGAAATTCTTTTATGCTTGTGAAAGATTCTTCCAGCAGTAAAAATCTCCACCAAACTTATAATCTATCCACATTTGGATAATAATAATAATTAGAGGCCCACATAATCAGCAAAAGTGACATGCATCAACTGTAAATTTGCTCCATAGAGGAAGGAGGGAGCATGCAAGAAAATCTCACCCTTTTGTCTCCTTTTATCTTTCCAGCTTCGCAAAATAAGGTGATGCATTTTCATTTGAGAGTTGAATTGAATATAGGCCAAATCCTCAGCAAAAGACCCCACAGAAAATGCAGCCATATGCTAATCATTTCTAACTACATAGATTGTGGTTGGATATCTAAAGATGAGTGAAATGAAATGGGAAAAAAGAAAACAGAATGAAATGGATTAGGACAAAATTATTGTTCCCTTATTTGGATACTTATATAACAGAATGGGGAAAAAAATGGTTCCGTCACATGCTTCTCAAATTCGAACGAAAGAAAAGGATTGTATTGAATGAAATGCATTCCATAATGTTCTGTGCTGTTTCATCTTATTCTAAACAATTCAAATAATAGAAAATTATATCTACATAAAGAATTCATAAAATCAAAAGTAAAAAGCTGGAGAAGGGGGAATAGTTTCTTTTTTTTTTTTTTAACAAAGCAAAGCACACAACATAATATCAATCTTTTCCGGGACTAATCTCAAAAGTAAATTCTTAGATTTCCCAACATACACCTGATATTTAACAGGCATTAGCCAGAGAAAGAGAAATAGTGTAAATTACATAGGGAACTTCGTCAGAAATAGATTCTCAGGCAATCTTCACATGGAATGGACCAGTTTTCTGCATGTGAGCCCAGCAAGTTTCTTTTGAAATGCACTGGCAACTTCAGAATTTTTACCCTATAAAATTTCAAAGTGGTTCACGAAAAAAAAAAAAAAGTTTTCTGTTAAAGTTAATCACTATATAAGAATAATTATTCTAGTGGCAGAAAACATTTCTAGTATCACATTAGGGCTATGCTTGGATACCAAATGATGAATGGAATTAAATGGGATAGAAGTTAGAACAGAATGAAGTGGAATCAAATAAATGAAGTTACTATAACCATTTCATTGTTTAGATGCTTTTATGATAGAACGGAGGAAAAAAGAATGGTTCCATCCCATATACCTCAAGTTGGAGGGAAGAAAAAGAGACAATGAATGAAATTATCAAATTCTATTCCTTTCCACTCCACTCCATTCCTTTCTATCTCTCTTTCCATCAATTCAAACATGGCCTAGGAGTTGATATAGTAAAATGCACAAAAAATAAGCACAAAAAGAGACGAAACCCACACATCATAGCAGAGGAATAAAAGGAAACAAATCTTCTGTGTTCATAATGCATTTGAAGTTGCAATACTAGTTCCATGAAGGGCACACTCAAGGCAAAACACCTGACTTCCCAATCGATTCTCGGTCATAGTGTAGTACATATTGCACATGCCATGCATTGAATATTGCAGACAGCTCTTGTTCATGCACCTGCAGAAACACCTGACCTCCCAATCGAATCCAGGCCATAGTGCAGCATATATTGCACATGCTACAGATTGAACGTGGCACAGTTCCTGTTCATGCAACGCTGCACCTTGATTTGGAAAACCTGTTGCATTTTTGCTGCAGCAATATGCCACAAAATAAAGTGTCGTCATTGCATGATTCTGACAACATGATACACAAGTTAATAATTCATTCAGCACCTTCATTTCAAGAAATAGGTTCCTTTTAATCTCAATTTCTAAAACTAATAACTCTTTCCTCATTCCTTGTACAGTTGCTACAAGCGTAGAACCACATATTACATAAATGGATCAGTTCTATTTGAGCATCTCTAAGGTTGTCTCCGCAATCTGCATATCCCATTTTTGAAGGATAATTGGGAACTCGTACCTATTTTCCCAGTTAATATGTGATGGAAACATAGTTTCCAAATTAACAGCGATGATTGTTTTAATTCTGTCCAAAACATATGTTGGTTATCAATTAGAAACCTCTGCTTATATTCAGCAAGATTTTTGCCAAATATTACGTAGATCACACAATGATGACAGCTTTACCCTTGCAATTCATGCCAAAACACTAACGAGATAAGAAAATCATTATGCAGCATTCACTAAATCGTTTTTTGTCACATATTCAGAATGTTTAGCCCTTAGCACCATAATAATTAATGATAAATCTTGTCCTTGGTTCATTAATGCAATTGTACCTGGAACTTGAGCCATTTACTCTCACTTGTTGATCTCTTCAGAATAATCTTTGACTTCACAGAAACTCCAATTCAACATTAACAGCTAATATCCACAAGAAATCAACAACTCCTCAGTCATCCAATTTTCCCGAATTTCTAATACAATTACCAAGTGAGAACATTATACCTAAAGCTAAATTTATCATCTAACCAAATAAAGTTATATTTAGTAGTCTGTTCAAACCAAGAAGACACATTAACAGCAATTGACTTGTGCAGGTAACCCCAAGAAGACCTGAAGAGGGACTAAATCTGCATTGATCTGCAATAGATAGATGTAAGGAATTAGTATCGAATAAAATATAAATGCATTCAGTCATTCCAAAAGAACGAATCCTCCCTAATAAAAAAAGCAGCAATATCTTCACATTACTGTAAACCTAAACTTAAGAAACAACATAAAGGAAAACCAGTGCAATATAATTTATAGAACATTAGGTAAAAGTAGATGATTTGTTTTAAATCTTTAACAATCCTCAAAGAATCAAAGCAAGTAAATTACGTAGAGTTAGAAGAGTTGACGTTAATGGTATGCTATGCACTAAATAGAATGCAATCTAGGCTTATAATATTTGTTCACTGCATTGCCCAAAATCAATTAAAGAAGGAACAAGCACAAAGAGAAGTGACCAACGCTGGTAGACTTAATTGAAAATCTGAACAATGAAAAACATCAGTGTTCAGCCATTTCACCACCCCTCTATGAAAACAGATAAAGGAACACATCATCTAATAAAACTGCACTCCATGATACTACCTAAAAGAAATAATAAGCATTTTCATATTCCACTCAATTTCCCGGATCTCTGGCACAAATTTATCTTCATTCTTTTCAGAAATGAAACGTCCAACAATATGCCAAAACTACCCTCACATTTTTCTACACATTGGCATCAAACTGTGTTTGGTTATAATTGAGCCAGCATTGGACTGAAGAGCATGTGTTTTGGTGGACTGACGAGAAGAGACTTTTAACTTCCTCATAAACACCACCACCAACTGTGTTTGGTTATAAGTTTGCAGGCATTCCAATGCAGAGAAACTGCAATAGAATTTTAATAACACCACCAACTGCACATTAGATGCTGTTTGTTTTGCTTATCAATTAAAATAAAATTTTATTTTAATAAAAAATTATATTTAATGTTACTTCAGATTATTAAAATAAAATAAAATTCTAAATGTGATCGAAGAACTGCTTCTAAATTTTGTTCAAACGTGAATCTAGGAAACATGTTTTTATCAATTGTGGTTTACATCCCAACGGAACATACAATTAATTGGAAACACATCTTAATCATTGAGTGCAAGAAACGTTTTCATACTCTCAATTCTATTTGCATTTGATACAACTGTACAACAAGAATTGAAGGGAACGGACATTAAACCGCGTCAACGTTGACAAAAACAAACAAACTTTAACAGGCTGTCACTACAAACTCAAATTCATCTCCAACAAACCTCGAACTTATCGTTCCTTAAAATTAGTTCAGATTAGTAAACCGCAGAAACCATAGGAATATTAAGGACCACTTTTAAAAGAAAGTCAGAACCGTCAATTCTATTTCATCCATAAGCGTGACCCAGAAGATCCAAAATACCATTCAAGCTTCAGGATGCATGTAAGAGAGAGAAGGAAACTTACGATTATCGAGAAGAGTTTCAGATGCCTGGTTATACGCAATCAACCATCTCATGAAACTTGCACACCCTTTACACAGACACAACATAAACAAATTATGAAAAGCACAAGAAACTAAAAGGGAAAATGCTATACAATATAAAATCGCAAATTCATCCCACTGTATAAAACACTACAATGTAAAAAGGCTCAAACTCTCAGTTTCATTTATGATTAATTCATTAAGCTGAAAAATACATGCTAAGCATCTGTATCGAATTCGATCCCAATAAAGAAAACAAATTTATAGAAAAAAAACCTAAAAAAAAGTTTGATAAATGAGATTTCATGTTGTATCGACAACATCTGTGGATCCAACTACACCGCAAGAACTTTACAAGACTAACCCTACAAACACTAGGGTCGGGAAACCCCGACCTCACTTCCTCCCCTTCCTCGTCGTCGCCGCCTGTTTCTTCTTCGCCGGCGACTTGACACTCTTAGGCTTAACACTTTTCGCCGGAGCTTTCTTCGCCGGCGCGGCCTTCTTCGCCGCCGGTTTGGGCGCAGGGGATTTCTTCCCTGGAGATGTCCTTGTCGATGTTCGAGAAGCCTTCGCAGGCCTCTCTTTAGGCTTTGCCTTAGCAGCTGGCTTCGCCTTGCCAGCGGGCTTGGGCTTTGCCGCCGCAGCAGGCTTAGCCTTAGTCGCAGCAGCTTTGGGCTTAGCTGCGGCCTTTGGCTTGGCAGCTGGTTTAGGCTTGGGCTTGGCTGCGGGCTTGGTCTTGGCAGGAGCCTTAGCAGCCGTGGACTTAGTCGTTTTGGTCTCTTTAGCAGCGGGAGCTGCTTTGGCTTTGGGCTTGGGCTTAGATTGAGCCTTCGACTTGGGCTTAGGCTTAGACTTGGGCTTAGCAGGTACAGCTTTCTTCTTGGCTGGAGTAGGCTTGGGAGCAGAAGATTTGGCCGGTGGAAGCTTGAAGGATCCTTTGACCTTGACCAGCCTTCCAGAAGCAACGAGCTTCTTGGAATGGTACAACAAGAGCTTCCTGAAGTTCGATGGAAGCTGTTGGTGCTTCTCTTCAAGGAACTTGGCAATCGCGTACTGGCTCGAACCTGTTTTCTCCTTCAGCGTGACGATAGCGTCCTTAATCATCTGCAAAATTCAATCGAAATTCAAATTCAGCAATGAGAATCGCGATAAATAAAGTGGACTACATAAATTGCAAATCCATACCTCTTCGTAGGGAGGATGAGATGCTGGCTTCCGGGATCTGGGAGCAGCAGGCTTCCTGGGCTTGGGCTCCTTGGCTGCTTTCTTGGGCTTGGGCGCAGGATTGGTGGGCTCATTCTCTTCGGCCGGTGGGTCGGCGTCAGTTGTCGGCTCCTCCAGAGCAGGCTCCACGGCCAGGGTGGGCTCTTCCGACGCCATGATATGAACGATGGATCTGTGAAGTTTGTTACTGGGAATTTTTGGATGTGAAGGTGACGGAAATTACTTGGTTTAAATAATAAAGTGTATGTTGGACTATATCCAAATACTCGATCCTCATTGGTCCACACCCCCTCTACATGGATTGCTCCCTTGTCCAGGTTTGAATTTTAGCCCTTAGATCTAATCCTATCAACGGCTGTGGATCCTTGTTGGGGATGCTTAGATGGAAACATTTTGGGACAACTTAGGGGGTTACTTGCTTAGTCTAGGTGTGCTTTTAAGCTGGGTTCATTCGGCCATAACTTGTGATCGCCTTGGTGATTTTCAATTCGGTTTTTTTCATCTTGTAGGTTATTATGTAAGCTTTCTGATGAGTGTTCAAGGGTGTTGAATGGTTGGGTGGTTTGGGAGGAATTTGGTTTTGAAGTCACAATGGTTTTGACTAGGGTTTATTGTGATGTTATCAAGGATTTTGTCAAATTCTGATGAATGCTTTGATCTTTGATAAAATTGACGCATCACTCGTGATAATAGGTTAACTAAGGATTCCATTTCATTAAGAATTGTGAAAATCCGATGAGATTTGGATGTAGAATCGTTAATTGGAAAGTCACCAAGGTTGAACAAGTCCTACCAAAGAATATGGGTTGTCATGTGTAGTGTATAGAACAATTCTGTTTTCTCATAATACATTGAATCACCATTCATTTGGATAAATACAATCTTATAACAAATAATTGGTGTTCTTAAGGACTGCATATGTTCACTCTTGAATTTCTATACTTGCAAATAGGTTTTTCCATGCTTTTAGTGCTTTCACGGGCAAGTAACAACTTGTTGGGTAAATCTCTGATTGGATGCTAAGGTGTATTTTTTTCCGACATTCTTCCACTCATTTGATTGAAGTTATGCTTGAATTATTTAATGTGCATCATGTATATTGCTTGTGTATTTAGTCTATGAAGGTCACATCTTATTATGCTTAACAAAAATCATGTATAACCCAAATGTGGATGTTGCAAATTAATCTATCTCTGAATTTGATACACAATGTTTTTATGAAATTTGTGTTTGCAATTTCACTTGTCTATTAATCTGTTTTGCAACTATAAAAGTAAAAATTTATCTATTTGTACAATGAAGAAACCTTGAATACGTTATATATAATCTATATGACTAAATTCACAAGTTAAAGCACATCCCCCCCATTGGTATTATGTTTAACTTGCAAGACATGCTATAGTACCATGTATGTACTGCTCTTATCATGAAACATGCATCAATATATATGCTCTGAATTATAATTTCATCATGCTTAAGGCTTTATTATCAGTTTAAGGTCTAAGATTTTGGTCTTCTAGCTACATATTACATTCAGCTTAAATTTTCAAGTGAAAATATATGCTAATAGGACACTGGCTACTGAAACCATCTCAGGCCCATTTCATGGGATTGTAAAATGGAAGGTCGTTCTTTATTTAAACTTCTTGGACGAAATTGAATCATTTGTTTAACTTACACTGCTCAAACACCAAACATCGGAGGAGTTAAATTTATCATGCAATAAGTTTCTCAGTATTATTCAGTTATGTAACTCAGCTGTGTAATCTACGAAATAAAAATGCAACTTTCGTGTTGGGATGACTGGACGAAAACATATATCGTTACTAGCAAAGATAGGACGGTGTTGACTTTCACTCAAGAACATCTAATCTTTTACCAAAACAAAATATCCTCTATAAAGGTCAATTTAAGTTTAACTAGCTGCCCAGATAGTTCAACTCTAAATAAATAATAACTATCTCGTTCAAACAAAAATTTGTGATGAGCTCATACTTCTTCATTGTTTCAAACAACCAAACAGACTTTCAATGGAGACACAAAGTACAGAGAAGCAAAATAATTTTGGTACAGTTTTCTTTGAACTCTTCCAACTTTTTTCCACTTTCCAATTTTCTGATTTTTGTTCAACATAAGAGTTATTTTTACTTAATAAACTAAATGCGTGTTTGGTTCGACATTTTCTAACCATGAACATGCAAATATTAACGCTACAAACAGTGACTTTTTAGTTTCAAATGCCTGTATGTCATGAATTCAACACATATTCAAACATACCATAAGCTTTTTTCCATTCAATGAAGAAATTATCTCAAAAATTGCACGTGCTTATTTTGAAGCTTTGGCCATATGTAAAGAATTCAGAGTCAATTATAAGTATTAAAGCATATCAAAGTGTGTGATAGAAAAACTATAAATAATAGTATTGCAATAAATATGTATCTATTACTATTTAAATATGAATTGAAATACAGACAATGTCAATTTTAATTATAGTGTGTTATGTTAATAATTATTTACTCAGTTTATGTATCATGACTTGTCGATCAGCATGTTTCATTTGTTCGTTATACTCAATAACTTGTCTTGACAGAACTAAGGGATCGGTAACTCTCACCTATGTGGTAATTAAGTTTTGAACCGAAGTTTATTCGCTGAAACTGAATGCAATTACCACCCGCCACCCCTGGATTAGCAAAATCACATAGCAATTCACATTAAATCTTAAACATGGGTGACAGCAGATTTAACGCTTTATAAAATAAAGCGATAAATAAAGTAACTTTTGTTTTATAATTTATTCCAATTAAAATATTTTATAAATTAAATTCATTTTAAAAATAATAAATTAAATTTATTTTCTTATTTTAAAGTTTTTTCACATTCAATATGAATGTAGGGCGAAACAAGGTAGCACCAACCCATTTTATCTTTTATTTTTCTTTTTTAAGAAAAGGAGTTTACTAATACGATTATATATTTTCAGAATTTATGTGATATACGTAACTATACATTTTACAAAGAAAACTTTCATATTAATAGTTTTTTTAATTAAAAATCTAATAATTTCTATTTAACTATAAAAGTCAATTATAACACCAAACAAAATATTCTAGCTATCAATCGAACTTTTCTTACTCAAATTAAAAAAAAAAATAGTTATCTAAAAAGATCAAAGCTAAAACATAAATACCAATTAGTATAAAAAAATTAACAATTGTTTACATATTAGAAATAAAGTAGTAATCATAAGAATATGCATAATTGTTTTAGGATCATTGTTAACGATCGATGTTGTACTTAATTAAATAAAAAAATAATTTAAATGCAGTAAATTGGAAGATAAACCTAAACTATTCTTTCAAGGACTTCATCTATAAACGTTAAAAATGAAACACACAATATAAAAAAATTGTTAATTTGTGGCAGTTAAATTTTATGATTAACGATATTTTTAACTGCTTCTAAATTTTATTTTGACGATTATAAAACTGACGTTAAAATTGGCGACACAAAGTCAAATTGGTGGGTAGACCGCGCGACGAGAAACAATGTTCTTTTTGAAGTTTGGTTCTACACTTTTCTCTAGTTCTTATCTTTTACTCATTTCTGTCTTTTACTCTTTGGGTTCACATTCTATTTATTTTTTAACATCACAACATATATGTTATATAATCTATAGTGTAGAGTCGTTGAATGAAAGCCATTTTTAAAGGAAGTGAAAAGGATAAAAGATTATCGGAGTTGTCATAGTTGGAGGAGAGTCATTTTTGAAAGAAGTGAAAAGAATAATATAAGATTACTAGAGTTGTCATAGTTGGAGAAAATAATTTGACAGTAGTGACGGTAGCAGTAATGATAGTGGCAGAGAGGAGGGTGGTGGTGGAACTAAATAAGGCCAAAGTGGAGGTAAAGAGATAAATTTGAGTGGGTGATAGAGATTGAGTGGGGGCAGAGTGGTATTTATTATATCTTGTTATCGCAAACTGACGTTAAATCTTATATTTTTTGTAGCGATTATGCAAAATTGTCGCTAAATCCATTTTTTGTGGCAGTTGCAGAAAATCGCCACTAAATCTTGTAGTTTTTGCGGCAATTACAGAAACTACAACTAAATCCTGTATTTTTTACGGCGGTTACTAAAACTGCTGCTAAATATTATTTTCTACATATTTTACTGGTAATTATTGTTAACTGTCGCTAATGAACCGATACTAAATGGCGCAAATTAAACTTAAGCTAATAAGTTAAGAAAGTAAAATAGGCCACAAAGCTTAATTAGGCCCAAATTTAAATCATGAACTACTAATAGGCACTTAATTTTTTTAACAATGTTAGGGGTCAACTTCAAATACTCATAACTTTCACCTAAAATTCCAAATCCAACTAATGAGTAAATTGAAACTCTTTTAGTTAATTTTCAAATGCAACAAGAATTACTAAAAAACTTCTCTACTATAAAAAATTAGATCAAAATAGTGAGTAGAGGTCAAAAGTACTAAAATACAATAATTAGGTAGAATTATTAATTTTGGTCCAAATAATAAAATTAGTTGAACAAGGAAGTAATAATAGAAATATTGTAAAGAAATAATGTTAATGATACTAAAGTGTTAATTTAATATGATTTATAAAATAACTCCACACTTAGAACCTTTGCAGTTCTGGGCAAAACAAAGAAAAAAAATCAAAACAAAAGACTAGAAACACAAGGCACAACTAATAGAAAAACCAAAATGACAAATTCATCAATGAATCAAAAGTGATAGAGCCTTACAAGATATGCTATCTAATCTCAAGTGTCTTTGTTTATGTATACTCTCAAAAATCACCTAAATAAGTTAACACTACCATAGGCTTCACAAGTTCTTAATTTTCATATTTGAACACACATGTGTGCAGAGTTCAAAAGGAATTTATCAAGGTTGTAATGGGGCCAAGGTGATAGAATGAATAACATGAAGGGGTATGGCTAAGTTTAGGGATGAAAAAGAGCAATGAAAAACAAGAACCAAAGATCATGGAGATACAATTAGAAATCCAAGAGAAAAAAAATTGAAATGTAACTCAAATTGTAGGGGACAAAATATCAAAGGAAAATCCTCTTAATTTGTTTTGATTGAGTTTGATTTTTTTTTTCCTTGTTTCTTCTCTCTTTTTTTTCTTTGGAAACTTTTTCCTCTTTTTATGCCTCTTTATTTATCTCAAACTTTTTCTTGGGACTATATGACTAGTAACTAGAATAAAAAAGGGCCTTAATCATATCAAATCATCCACATGTAACAAGATATATAAAACAAGAAACAAGTTAAGTTCTAGAGTACTAATAAATGGGTGAATCACACAAGGAAGAAGGAAAATGACATAATATGCTCCACTTTCATCACATGGCTCAAAATTTCACTACGGTATAAATCTATTACAAATAATTCACTACTTAATTATCAAACTATTATGAAATACTCAAGAATGCAAGATATCAGTCCAAACCAAATAAAGAAACTCCTATCCCTCCATGTTGAAAAATGTTACTACTCACGAAAATTGTTTGTGGGTAAGTATATCCATGGTATTCATGGTAGCACATTGGAAGCACCTTGGCAAAAACTCTGGTTTGGTGTTGGCTGGACAGAATTTTAGAAACGATGATATCTCGAGTTATAGAACTCCAATTGAGGTAATTTCAAAACGAGGTGAAAGTTCTCCTTTTGAACTTCAATTTAGGCTCAAGAATCACTTAATTTGCATGAGTAGAATGAAAGATATGATTATAAG